TCATCTTGTACTTTGTCATTTGGAAATGAGTGAGGTCTGCTGTCTTGGGGTGCATTCAGATGTGGGGTATAATGCATTAATTTTCATGATCATAATGCCAGGGCTTCTGCCCTGTTTTCTGATGTTCCTTTCACACTGCAGTACCTGTTGTGCAACTGTAGGTTTCTGCACAATAACAAACGTCATTGGACAGTGTCTCTATTTCCCCACCCTTTTTGCACACATGTGCTTCTGTTCCCCCATAAAAATGGCAGGAAAGAACTGTATGCTGGTATACCACCCCAAATATCATCACTTTACTTTCACGGTTTTCCAAATAATACAGAAATGGGTGCTAAACATGCATTATATTCCACTGCTTTTTCAGAAGGGGCTGTTACATCAAGTGAAAGCCCAAATATAATGTGAACAATATTTGTCAGGAAATGGAATCAATTGCCATTTGAATGCAGCCTAGGTTAGATCTATTAATTTCCATGAATAAGAGTTGAATTCCAGGAGTGAACAAAGGAGCATGATGGCCATAGCTGATGCGGTGCGAACACCCCAGCAAGCATGCTGGATCAGCTCTATCTGTGCATTTGCACCACATCCACATTGCCCCTGCCTTGCCCCTCTACCTCCTGGTAAGCAGCAGTGGTGCAACTAAACAGAGGTCAAGTGAGCAGCAGCCCCAACTCTCCAAACCTCCTACTACTGTTGAAGACTAATAGCATGTTCCTGTCTGTACAGTTTCATTGAAAGAACCCAGATATGTCATTGATGGCCCAGCTCTAAATATTTGCATTGGCTTGCCCAGTGGAGGCTGGTCCATGAGGGCAAACAGGACACTGCCCCACCAACTTTGGTCTGGATTCTTCCAAGCTCACCTGCCTCTGCTTTCGTTTCCTTAGTTTCAGGGTTGTCCTCGTAGAACTCAGCAGGGAGAAAGATAGGGATGGATGTAAAATGACTTCACTCTGTCATTGGCTCTGCCTCTCATTGCCTCTGGTGCCACCTACTGTTGACCTCCCTGCCTTACACCTTAGCAGTCCCAATGGGCATCAGATGTCACTGGGCATGTCAATATACGAGTCGCATCGCTGTATTCCAGAATAATATAATTTTTATTTTTTTTTAACAATGTTGTAGCATAACAGTTGTGTGGGGGTGAGAGAAGAGGGAATATGCCAACACGTTTCTGAAACACAGATGAAGTCTACTGTGTGCTTTGGGTAGCACTAATATAATATTTTGTTCTTTTATTCTTGCTTGCCACTTTTGGCAAGTAATTGTGGGAAGCTGGGTAAAAATAAACATGTTATTGAAAAGGCTAAGGTCCTAGCCTCACTTGACTTGGAATAAGCACTATTGAACTTAGTTGGGGCTTACTCCTGAGTAGACATGGTTAGGATTGCAAAGTAAGATTTTCTTGCAGCAGGAAGCACTCCAGCAACATAAGGAGATATGCTGTAGCACCCCCACTTCTTTAATAACCCTTGGAATGTAAGGGGCAATATCTCCAGTGGGAGCTAAGAATATAGCTATGCTTGCATTTCACAAGCTGTCTTTTCTAGTGTCTCTCTATATTTTATTGTGTTGTGAATACAGAGACATGTTTTCTCCCTTTCTTCTGACTGAGATGTAGATAGATCCTTTTAAAAAAAATAAAAATCTGCCAGGACACCTTTTCCTTCTTTCCTAGAGTCTTTGTCTGAGCCAGCACTGTGACAGTCAAACCTCAAGCACATGTGCTTAAGCAAATTAGTTTAAGATACATATTTCTCTCTCTCCTCCCCTCCCATCATACTGAAAACATCTCTTAAAATCATGTTGCAATGAGACTGTAGGGGTTAGCTGGTGCATATTTTGGAAATACTTTGGGTGCTGGAAATGTTTGGTTTTTTTTAAATAAAATAAAAATAAAACAAAAACATTCTTCCTTTCCTGCCTGGTATAAGAGCTCAAGTTCCAAAGGAACAGAGAGATCTCTAAATATGGAGAGGGATGCCGCAGAGCCACCTTAGTGGCCTTGACAGCGGAATTATCTTCTTTGGGGAAAATACAGTGCCAAAATAAAAGAACTGTCAGGTACTGTAGAGGAAGACTCAAACAGAACAAGGCTATCACTTTCTGGAGGAGAGAAGACAGATTGTGTAAGTATGTCAAAGTCATTGCAGGCCATAAAGGGCTTTTGGCAGAGAACTTCAAGGGGGAATTGCTGCGAGTGAGCTGCCTTTGCGTAACGCGAGCTGTTGAGGAGAGAAAGAGGGAGTACCCAGGCCTTTCCCGACAGAAGCATCTCGGAGCTTCTACATCAAGTGGCACATCAACAGGAGGAGGAAGCCCAGAGCATGTCCCCTTTTTTTGAGGAAGTTCGACTGAAAGAGAATGTTTGATCCCACAAGGAAGGCTCAGAATGGCTTTTGCTGCTGAGCCTATGGGATGACGATGGCAATGATATGGAATATGTTCAACAGTTCTGAGTTAAACCCCCAAAACAGAAGAAGCTGCTCACACTCCACACCATTTAAAAACAACAACAGCAACAACTGGGTTCAGGCAGTCTAAATTCCGTGCTGAGAAAAATTCTGCAACTTGCATAGATTGAATTCTGCTGCCTGCATAAATTATGTGAACTTAGTAGGCATGCATATTTTTCTCTTGTTCTCACAGTGCCTTAGTTTGGAACTTCAACCCATTGTACTGAATTTCAGGAAGGCTTCAATAGAGATAAAACAAACACACTTTGGAGGAGGGAAAGAATGACATTGTGGTTTCAGGTTCCACTCTGACCTCCATGCATTTGGAGGTCTCATCTGAAGAGAGACCTCACATATGTGTACAATTGTGTGTGCACCAGGAGCTCTCCATGTTATTGCCTTTCCTTTGCAGGGTTTCCAAGTCTGCAAATATACCTCCATGCACACATGTGCATAGGGTTGTCAAGTCAAAAGCATCCCAGACCCTGATATTCCAGGGCCTGAACCTGAGACCCAGGGGTGGCCCCAGTGGTGTCATTAAGCATGACACATTAAGCATGACAGCAAAGTTGCTAAAAAGCATGTTGTGCAAATAAAAACAACAACAAGTGAGCAAAGAGGTTGGTAGCTGGAAATTAAGATAGTAACCTAAGCTAAAGGCAGTGTTCGCAGTTCCCAGCTGAAGTAAGGGGGTATTTCTTTCTCACCTGCGTTTTTGCCCTCTGGGAGATTCAAGGATGCAGGTGAGAAGGAAAGTGGGGGGCAAGGAGGCAAAGATTTCAGGTCAACCCTGGCAGTCTGGCAACCTAGCAGTATGTACGCCAGCTGTCCACATGCAGTTCAATCACTGGGCGTAGGTTGGAGGCGGAGCCTGCCACTTTAGCACCCCTCCCCATGCACCTATTTTTACCCATATTGCATCTCTCTGTTAAGAGGCCCCTAAATGGAACTGGAGAAATCCTTACCTCGTGTTTCCTCCTTACAAGGGAGAAGCTGTGCTTGGATATCTTTAGTTATTCGTAGCCAAATGGTTTCCTGGCGGTGTGTGTGGGGGGGAGTTAGTGCTGCTTTTGGGAGCCTGCTATTGGGTAGATAGACCTGTGCTTCCCCCATGCTTAGAGTTGCATAAATAATTGGCACCCGGGGAACGGAGGGTGAACTTTTTTTCTCCCTCACAAATAAATGATTCATAGAGAAAAAATATGCCCAAAGCCGATGGATAAATTATTCACAAGGAATAATGTGACCTGCTCAGCTCATGAGGAGGTCTTGTTTCTCTTTCTCCTTCCCCTGCCCACCCCCCTCAACTCCCAGCCCCCACAGTCTCCAACTGCTAAGCAGAGTTAGGCGTTAAAGTCCCTCCACCCACTTCATTTAGAAAGTAACTCCAGAGGCCCCGGCTTCTTAGCAACAGCTATCGGCTTTTGTCCAGTCTATAGATTAATTTTTCAGAGTTAGTGTTAGTTCAGGTTAGATAAAGATAATGAAAGTTTCCTAATCCTCTTAAAGAAGATTTATCTGGCTGAGTAGAAAGCTCTCGCAATACAATAACGCATGTATAAAACTGGGGCCTAACCCTCTTCTTTAATTTCAAACAGCTGATGGATATTGATTTTGCAATGAGTAAATCTGAAGGGGGGAGAAATTCTGTGCTTCAACTTTTTTTTCTTCCCCTTTTAACGAGAGGAAAAGAGAGGGGGGGAAATTCCACCACACAGAGAGAGACAAAAAGAAACATTAAAATAATTTGTTTTCTCTTTATCTGCATTCCTTTTATGGGAAAGCAGAAAAATATATTGTCTGTCTGGATTTTTTATTTTTATTTTTTTTGGTCAGTAATCTACCATAGTTATCAGAGAAAAATATCCCCACCCATAACGGTCATTTATCTAGTTAATTGAGCATAGAGCTAGCAGGAGACTATGGGCAACTACCAATGCATGTTTAGGATTCTGTGAAGGCTTGAAAACTGCCTCTTGTATATATGCTTTGTGTTTATTGTATATATGCTCATTCAAAGACCATGTTCTGTCACACACCATTCTGGTTGATCCACAGTCCAAACAGGTTAGGCAAGAGCTCCCAGTTCTTTGACCACCTTAGCAAGGCCAGGCAACGCCACTACCTTGTCCTTCTCACTAGCCACGGAGAATGGGGTTGGTTTAGGTATTGTGAGATGCGACTCTTAACAATCCCCCGCAGCTTTGGACTCGTGAAGCTAGTCTGAGAAATTTACAGAGACATCAAATGCTCAAACATCTTACAAAAGCCAGAAAGTGTTACTATGAGCACAGTGATCAGTGGAGTCTGCCTTTTCTACAATACAAAAATAAAATAAAATGGTACGCTGCACATAGACTGAGAAAAAAGAATGATACAGAGGAGTTTAGTTTAGCCACCATTGGAACTTTGAAATTAAAGGGGCATCTGCCTAATGCTGAGTCAGTCTATTGTTCCCTATAGCTCAGTATAGTCTGCACTGACTGGCAGTAGCTCTTTCTCATTTGGGAAGGGGGGGGGATATTTCCTAGCCCTGTCTGGAGATGCCAAGGATTGAACCAGGGACCTTCTGCACATGAGACATGTGCCCAGCCACTGAGCTACAGCTTAGATAAGGATAAGGGCTGCTTTCCCCCAGGGAAACACACAGTTTAGCGCTGAATTGGAGCAAATGCTAGTTAGGTTTCCTGCAGATTGACGTTTGTTCCAATTTATCAGTAAAGAGAGGGTTTACTGGGGGAAAGCAGTGGGGCAAAGGCGAAACCATTTGAACCCATGCATAGAAAACATGTGACAAACAGAAAACCTCTCAGATCCATGCTGTCTAGGCACAGAACAAGCTGAAGTTTGGACAAGCCCAAGCAATCTATCTTTTCCCAGGGCCAGGAGTGCCAGCTTGGTCCTGTGACCATGGATGCCAGGGACTGTGGGTGCCATGCAGCGTGCATGGCCCTAGCACCAAAATTCGTGGGTGCCTGGTCCCTTCATGGGGAATTTTGTGGGTGCTTGGGCACCCAGGGTCCCAGGGTGTTGGCACCTATGCTCGGGGCAGACCACTGGTCCATATAGTCCAGTGATGCCAAAGCTGATTGGCAATAGTTCAAAGGGGTTTCAGGCACTTATCGTATGCATGCTAAGCTGCGACCATTCTCAAAATTAAGACATAGCAAGCTGCCTTATTCTCTCAGACCTTTGGTCCATCTAGCCCAGCATTGTCTGACTACCAGTTGTTTTGGGAATGTGAGTGGGGAGAGTGAAGCTGCACCCATTTCCTGCTAGGGATCTGCTGGCCACTGTGGGAAGAGGTAGCTGAAATTAAAGGGGCTTTGGACTGATCCAGCACAGGCTGTTTCTGTGCCCTTTTGATCCAACTCTCTGTGAATTGCATAGCTGTGGTGGAAGATCACATAGCAGTTGGGGTTTGTGGTGCACTCCCGCCAATAAATCACTTTGACTTTATCTATTTATTACAGTGAATGCTGAACTTGTAGTCTTTTTTGCCTCAAGGGACTAGTATCCTCCTGACTACAATCCTGAAGCTTCATGAAGTGCAGGAACAATAACACAGGGGCAGCCCTCTTCCTTGCTGATGTGCATTTCTTCCACCTGGGCTTGAAATCCATCTCCTGACAACAGTAGTGGTTCTCTTGAGAGTTTTCACTTGCATGTGAACTATCTGCTTGGAGACTCTTGATGTGATTATCTTTTCTCTTTAAAAGGATCCGTTTCCAATCCTTTGAGTTAGCATTTCTATTAAGTGCTCTGCCCAATTAGAACTTACCTGGCAAAAACCTGGAGACGATAAGATTCCTCGGGAGCATTCAGCAACTTGGAGGCTGGGTTTTACTCCTTCTGTACAGTACCTAGTATTTTTTTAGGCATGATGGTGATAAGGCTTCTTCCCCGCCCAAATATATTCAGATAGGATCGTGCTGGTCTTTGTAGCATCACTTAGGACTTGTTCTCCTAAGAACTACTTCCATGCAGAGACAGATTTAGGGGAGCATGACCGGTTCAGCATGGAGCCTTGGGGGTGCCACAAAGGTTTCCTCAACTACAGTGGTACCTCGGGTTACAGACGCTTCAGGTTACATACGTGACTCCACTAACCCAGAAATAGTACCTCGGGTTAAGAACTTTGCTGCAGATGAGAACAGAAATCGCATGACAGTGGCAGCAGGAGGCCCCATAAGCTAAAGTGGTACCTCAGATTAAGAACAGTTTCATCTTAAGAACGGACCTCCAGAACGAATTAAGGTCTTAACCCGAGGTACCACTGTATTATGAAGAACACAGGCACCACTGAAATTTGAGACCCCAAGGCCCTCCACAGTTCCATGTCAGATATGAAACAGGAAAGTAGTTAAACTCTGACCATGCCAAGACTTGCTATTTATGCTCTCTCTCACCTCCATGTTCAGCTTTATTGGATGAGCCCATTGGGTTTTACTATTCTGAGAGGAAGCAGAAAATGTTCCCTCTTTATTTATTTTTCTGAACTAAATAACTTTTCTCATGGAGGTATTGTTCCAGGTCCTTTATGGCACTGACTCCCTAGGGTTTCAGGCAGGAATCGATACCTTCCCAATAAGGTACAAGAAGCTGCCTTATTCTGCCATAATCTTGGTCCACCTACCTCATCATTGTCTACTTTGACCGTCAGTGAGTTTCCCACATGATTCTCTTTCAGCCCTAACTGGAGAGGCTGGGGATTGAACCTGGGACCTTCTGCATGCAAGGCAAGAGCTCTACCACTGAGCTATCACCCTTCCCTACATGGACTGACTGCTGTACATTCATTTTGATCTGCTGATGCTGCTCTTCTTGGTCCTGTTACTTTTTGATGTTATTTGTTTTGGATGGCTTTTACTGAAAGACAATGGTTTTAATATTTTAATGAGTTTCATGTATTACACTGGATAGATGGAGTTTGTTGGCTGCTTCGTATAGAAAAACGAGTAAGCACTTAAATAAATAAAACCAGATGGATAAGAAATGGCAGGTGCACTTCAGCGTTAGTTACAAATTACGGCGTTAGGTACATCTTGTGCTGGGGATTATGATCATTTAAATAAATACATGCTGAAGATCATGTTGGTCAAAATGAGTGGTTCCTCCGCTCCCCACCTCCTTCACTGTTAAATATCCAGGATGGAAAATGCTGTCCAATGTGCATAACTCCAGGAAGCATTGGAGCTTTTGGTGGAAAAACCAACAAACATGACTTAAAGCCATGCTTAGTGGTAGCTTAGGCTAATGAAGCTAATGGGACACATTTTGCACTCTGACTGGCTGGCAAGCAAGGCATTAATGACCTGTTAGCAGCCGTGTTCATGTCAATTAATTTATATTTGTATTTTGCAAAACTTAAAAGTTGCCCGGTTAGATTATTGATTCTTTGTCCCTGTATCCAATTTGTTTTTAATTGCACCACTGCAGGGCCCAGCCTTCCCCGGTAGAAACCCTGTGATAAATCTGCCAGGGACTCAACAATCAACAATAAATGTGTCTCTTCATGTCATTATTAATATGTCTCCTGGATTGGTTCATTACAGCAGTTAACAACGGTTTATAAGAGCTAGGATGGCAGAGTGCCAGGGTGGAGGCTGTTCTTTTTTTGCTTTTTTTAATCCAGCGGCTATTTTGTCATGATACGATTGATGGCTTCTGGTCTCCTTTTCTGTATGTGTGTGGATGTGCGCACAAGAGAGAAGATGAGAAAGAGGGATGGGGGAAAAAACCCAATAATTTAATTTAATAAAAGTAGAATATAAGTCACCTAATCCTCTTCTTATTGGGGGGTGGGTGGGTTTCTTTATAAAGGATTAGTTGACCTAGGATTTTGCCTCTCTTCCCACCTCCCTACTTCTCTCATTTCTCATGTATCTCAGCATCCAGTCCCTGCAGAAATTAAACTGGAACAGCTTCTGCAGAGCTGGAAAAGGTGCGGACGTGGCACTGAGTGCCTTCAGCAGCTCTAATGATTCCAAAGCAGCTGTAATCTCACAATCAGCCCGATTAGAATGAAGTGGCCCTAGCAAGGCGTGTGGCAGAGCCATGAATGGAATTCAGAGGCAGCAATGCTTCTGAATACCTGTCCCTGGAAGCCGTAGGAGGGGAGAGCACTCAGGTCCTGCTCACTGGTTTCCCACAGGCATCTGGTAGGCTCAAGGGCATACGAAGAGGGGGGGAGAGGGGGCAGGCCACCCCAGGAACCACTTGGGGGTGACAAGAGGGCCCGCTGCCTCCCCCCAGCTGTAGGGTGGCTGAGGGTGTGCGCAGAGTTAGTATGGGCGTCACTTGAATGGCGTCCATATGGGGTGCAGCGCATGTGCCACCGTGCAGTTCGCCCTGCCCCTTGGCATCCCATCCCAGGTGCCAGAGAGGGTTCTTCCACCACTGGGTAGGCTACTCTGAGAACAGGATGCTCGACTAGATGGGACATTGGCCTTCCCAGAGCTGGGTTTGCCAGCTTAGGGTAGGTGTGGGCAGAGGGTCTTCAAGGTCTTCAGAGGATCTTCAGAGTGTGATACCCAACTCTCCCTCTCTCCCAGTAGGCAATATGAGTCTAAACTGGTTGCCAGATTTGGGACCGAGTACAATTTGTTTCCTTTTGCAATTGGCATACGGTGGGGAATCTTTTTGTGAATGGATGTCAGCTAAATAAATAGATTGGTTTCCTTGGTTTTGTAACTTGGCAGGTGTGTGTGTGAAGAGGTAGACTCAGATGGTGAGGCCCTTTCAGGTGACTAGTGATTCCTGACATGTGCACACTGGGCTGTGTGATCTATGGAGCAGGGTGTGGATCACTTTTATGGTTAGCCTGTGCCCCTCACTTGGAGTTGTGCAGCTGTGAGAGGGCATGAACCAGGAAGACCTACCTCCTCCATGGCCAGGGGAAAGAGTTGGGTTTAATGCCAACTCTTCCTCCCTGTAGTATAGATTACCCAATTGGCAGGTATAGGAGCCTGATAGTTTTGTATTTTCTTGCACAGAGTTGGTTCCCCCTTATGCAGCTGTTGAAATTTGTAATTGCTTAGGTTATACTTTAAACAAAGTGGCTGTAGTTTACCCCACCTATGGGGCCTTTCCTCTTTATTCCCCATCTCCAAGTGGCTGGAGAACTTCATTGCAAAACTCAGAGCAGTGCAAATTTTGAGAGGTGTCTCTGTTTCTGTTTGCATATTGTTTTGGGAATTGTGAATTAGTTAAGTTTGCTTTGAAAAGTGAACTGAATTGAATTCCTCTTCCATCCCTATTCCTTACAGTTGACCACTGACTAGGACTGATGGGAATTGGGGGGCAACAAGTTCCCCATCCCTGGTTTAAGAAGTAAAACTTCTGAAGATTCAATGACAGGTGATGCTGTCCCTGCTTACTTTTTGGTAGGTACTTCAGTTATAAAACCAGAACCATATCTGTTTAAAAGCAGTGAAATGTGAGGTGCGAGCATGACCCCCTATCCCTGATAAATCTTGCTCACCTTATCTAAATGAAGGTTACCTTGCCGTGAAATCCCTTGCAGATGTTTCACCTGAAAATGACCTTCTGGCTAAGCTTTGCATTTTACTATATCCATTGGTGATTCTTGCTCCAGTAAACCACCCTTTGAGAATACATAGCTTAGCCTAAGACTGGTTGCCATCTGGATTAGTAAAGGAAGACGAGAGTAAGGGGGCGGGAGGAATCAAAAAGCTTTTAAAAGAAAAAAAAAATGCTTACACGGGCAAAAAACAAAAACCCTTTCCATGGCACTAAATAAAGTACCAAACACACAATGCCAATTGCTTTTTGTTTTTTTTAATGTTCTAAAGTTGTCTGCTCCTTAGATGTTAGTGCAAGTGGTAGCAGGAGGGAAATGGGTTTGGGGAGCATCGGAATGTTTTATTAAACTGCACTCTGACTGCTGTGCAGCATGCAAAGTGGAGGGGCGGGGAGAATTAAAAATAAACAGGAAAAAAATCAATTAAAGTTGGCACCATTAAAATGAAGCCCGGGGAAGCGGCATGGGGACCTTTCAAAGGAAAAGTTCTACAGAAAATTACCTCCTACGAAGGCGAGAGAGGCTGGCGACAAGATTGATTCTGAATCCCAGCTCTGAGTTAGTGCCTAGACCAAGCCGGAAAAGTAAGACAAGTAATAATGGAGAAATGTCTCTACAGAATGTAAGAATTGCTTTACTGGATAATACTCTGCTCCATCTAGTTCAGCATTTTGTTTTCAGTAGCAACCACCCAAATGCCTTTAGGATTAGTAAAGTTAATTATTTAAACAGCCTCTAATTGGAAGGGCATAAAATCAGTTATGTGATGTAAAAATAATGGACAAGTTGAGATTGTGAGAATTATTAATAGATCTTCTTCTATCTTGATATCTGCATTGGGTCCAATGTCCAACCATGTTTGATTGCCAACCTAACACCAAAGCAGAAGCTCAGGTAGGATGGTAGGAGACACGCCATGCTAAATCTGTAACTTGGGATTCCAATGGGGAAGCAGAGCATTTTCAAACTTCAGATCCTGTGCTTGTGCAATGTCAGCAATATACGTTTGAGGTTCAGTCATACCAAAGGTCCATCTAGGCCAGGTTGCTCAGTCATTGGCCTTCAATTTTGACCTAAAGAATCCTTGCACCTTTAGTTCGGGAAGGGTGCTGAGAGCTGTTAGGAGACCCATAGCAAGCTGCAGTTTCCAGGGTCCTCTGGGGAAAAGCCATGACTCTCAAAGTGACACGAGAGCTTTAAATGTATGGTATGGATGTGAGCGTCCTCTGCCATATGATTCAGGCTGTTTCTTACAATCCTGTATCCTGATATATTCTGTACGGAAGCCGCTTTTGGGTTTTGCACCTCCTTGGTGGGGTGACGTTGGGGACTGAGTCTGGGCTCGTCAACATGCAAAGCATGCGCTGCAACACTGAGTTATTGCCTCCCCCACTTTCCCGACTGCCGCACAAGGATACAAAGGAGTCCTTGTACCGGTAATGAAGCTCATCCTTCAACTCAAGTGCCAGAGGCTCGTGGTCTGCAACAGAAGGGCCTGGCTGTACCTGAGAAGCGCTGGCAGCCATTGTGTCGCATTTTGCTTTGGGATGCCGTCAGTCACACTCCTCTTGGAAAGCAACCAGCCTCCATGGGATATTGTTTGTCTGCTGTGCATGGAGGGCATCATAAATTCAGCGGAAGAGAAAGGATAGAGAACCCCAACATACCTGATTAATTACTATGAAGGCTAAATTAAATAAAAGAAGAAGAAGGGGGTTTGGAATGAGAGAGTTGTTTTCCCATTATATTTTCAAACAAAATGAGTATTTTATAGCACATGCAAATCACTCCCTGGGAAGCACTTTCACTTCCTTAATTGTTCATAAATTTAGTGACAGGTGGTTACACAGTAGGTGCAACACCATTATTTTCATTTTTATTGCATTCATTCACTTAACGAGAAAATCTGGCACAAGAGGGGGGTCTCTGGGATGGCATGTCACGGTGACCTGCAGGAAAGCTGGGTCAAGGAGGCGAGTTAGCTCTTCAGAAACCATCCTTGCCCTCAGATGCTCTATGGTGACATCACTAAAGAAAAACAAACACTTTGACTCTGAGCTTTAGATACAAGAGACCACCTAGACACTGTCAAACCAAAGACCTTGCCAAATATCTAAGAAGGATGGATACAGTTCTGTATAGATTCACACCATATCTTTAAAGCAGCCATGGCTTTCTCCAGAGAATCCTGTGAGCTGCAATTCGTTAAGGTTGCTAATAGTTGTTAGG